CTCTCTCTCTCTCTCTCTCTCTCTCTCTCTCTCTCTCTCTCTCTCTCTCTCTCTCTCTCTCTCGATTTTTGCTGTTGGAGACTTGAACCACCTGATCTCGGCCATGTTTAGGAGGAAGGCTTTATTGCACTGGTACACTGGTGAGGGAATGGATGAGGGCAATATGAACGATTTGGTGTCCGAGTATCGGAAGTATCAGGATGCAACTGACGACAAAGATGGAGAGTATGATGTTGAAGAGAAGGAGCCCCATGAGGCCTAGTGAGATAGACAAAGAGCGGGTCGTGAATGTCTATAGTTTGTTCACCAGGATGTGTTACACTTGTTTCCCATGATTTCTCTCTCTCTCTCCATATCTATTCATACTGTGTGGGGTTGAGACTTGAGTGCAACATCCAGTTGCTGAGGGTTGTTGCTTGAGCTTTGAAGATTTACATTGTTTAGTTTGGTTTTTTATTGTTGTACACTCAGTAGTTTAATCGTTTTTTTCTTATTTTGTTTTCCTTTTTGGGAGAAGTTTATGGTTGTTTGGGCCGATACTGTTACACTGTTAATTTGGGGCTGAGCCTGTTGGTTTTAGTCGTCTTTTGTCTTTCTTTGCATGGGTATGTTGAATGCATATGTTGAAATTTACTTGCTTCTCTCTCTCTATATGCGTGTGCTTATGTGAATTGGGAACTGAGTGATGGTTTTCTCTTTCACCATCCCTTCCCCGCTCTTTTTCTGGTGATAATTTTTCTCCTGCCTTCCCTCAGCTTGGATATGCTAAATGCATGTAAATTTTGTCTCGTTACCCTGAAGGAATATAACTTTCTCATGTGTGTTGGAGTTGTGCAAAGGTTTTCAATATTAGTGCCAATTCTCATTGAAATGAAGGAAATGAAGGATTATGTATGTGATAATTCTCTTTCCCTCTCTCTCTCTCTCTCTCTCTCTATATGTATGCATGTGTTGAATACTGATGATTTGCTAGATGGGGCTACCTGATTCTTACCCCATAAATTTTTTTACCAACAAATCTTACCTTATGCCAAGACCAAGAAGAGCATAGAGCATTTTAGTGTTAAATGTGAACTCAGATTGTTTCCTTGACCAAGAAACTTTCCTTGAAAATTATGACCGGGAGCATCTCCCTGATTTCCTTCCTCAAACCCTTCGTAGAACCCTGAAACATGAAAAGGTTGCTTCTCTTTTGCAAAACTATAATGGAAAATGTTGCTTTTTATACAATCCGCTCCAATCTTATGATAATAACAAAAAGCTCTTTTTGTTGTGCAATTAACTTTTCTTTTGTAAAACTACTATATAACACACAATGTATACCACTGTACAATAGCAGACCCCATGGTTAGTTTTATTCAGAAAAGAGAAGGATACATATTAATTTTGATAATATTATAGTTAGTGCATTTCCAACATATAATACACGCAACAATGAGCAAATACCATAATTAGAAAGCATTTTCTTTCATGAGATTATTGGTTCTTAGACATACATTGTCATACCAAAATTACAACAAAACTAAACAATTCAGGCACTTGATAGAAACAAACTGGCATGGAATGAAAGATGTTCTTTTCAAACCAGTTCCAATAAATTACATCAAACTTAATCAAAACCAACACAAAAACCATCGTCAGTTGCTTCTTGGTTCTGTTTAATTCTCCATGCAATCCGCCTAAAAACCAAAATTGCTTCTTGGTTCTTTTTCATTCTCCTTGCAATCTGCCTAAAAACCAAAATTGCCTTTCTCACACATCCCCCTAATTGAATCTCCCTGCTATCATGGGCATTTCTACTACCCAGTGTCATTCTAAGTCCACTATTGTAATCGACTTTGAATCTTTGTTGTCAATTTCACTCTCTGTAGTCATGGAACTGCTTAATGGTTTTCTGGTTATTGTGGAACCTGTAACAATGAGAGGAACCTTATCACTTACCAAAAATAGGGGAAAGTAGAAAACAATGGGACCTATTCTTTAGTGCCCATACTTTATTATACTAAATGATGATAGAAACGAAGTTTCTTCTTTTGAGGGAAAAATTACTTCAGCAGAGAACACATAGCCACATCTATATAGTAATATCAAATAAAAGGCACCAGAGAAGACCATTAAACTGAACAACAGACATAAGGGGCATCCTGTTCTATGATGATAAAACAAAAAGCCAAAATATAACAATAACATCCATTTAAGCTTACTGCATATAAATTTTTTCCGGAGTATTTTGACAATAACATCATCTAATTATTAGTAGCATCCTCATCAACATTTCTATTAGCGAAATGCAACTTCCTCGTTCGTATTAGAGCGTCTAAACCGAATTTAAAGATGGGTGCTTGCTAAGAGCATTCTTTCAAATATTGTTCGATTTGGCACAATGACGATATCAATATTCTCCATATATATTGGATCAGATAGTTTTAGTATCATTTCAGTCTGCTGAAAATTCATTGGCAAATGCAATTTATAGCGTCTTTTATTCTTCCCTGGCGTTCGCAAGCAACCACACCATAATTAGAATGAAAAGAAACAAAGTGGAGCCTAAAACTCATCCACTTCTAAACATTAAAACCCAGCAGAAAATCTATCAAGCATCAATAGTTCCACTTCCTCCTCAAAAAGGTAATGGCAATAGAAAGCTTAAACCGTGGCATATCAGAATGGAAGACCCAATATCATAGGATGCCCCGAAAGGAAATGCATCATCAAATTACCCAAAAAACAATATAAAAAAAATCAGAAAATTCCAAAAGAAAATAGTGTCCATGGAGAATGGAATATGAAACGAACATCAAGATAAAATCTGAACTTTGATGTGTTTCCTAAAATAATTTTTAATATGGGCTTGAAATAATTAAAAAAATCCAAAAAAGTTTATAAAATCAATCGGGTATACCTATTGGGGTGATCAATAAAAGAGACACATTACCAATATCTATACATAGAATCCACAGGTGAATACCCCTAAACATCAGAATGTGTTAAGTCAAAAAGCTCTGAAATGTTTTTCATCATGACCATAACAAAAGAAGGGCAAATATAATGGAGTAAACTGAGTAGTACTTAATGAAATTGAGCCATGATTTCCAGGTCTTTGTAGGTTCTTCAAACTAAAATGCCTTGGTTGCTGATGGGAAATTCCGCACAACAGTTCGTTGCTAGATTATGTTCGGTGGCAATTATAAGAGTAAAAATCAATCATCTTTCAAAACATAAATAAGTCCATTTTCAGCACCCTTTTAGCATTCAACTTCCTAGTCTCACGATCCGTAACAACAAAAAGATTGGGAAGAATTCAAAATTGCATTCAAAGAAGTCTCACGATCCGTAACAACAAAGAGATTGAGTAGAATTCAAAATTGCATTCAAAGAGAAACAAGAACAAAGGTTGGGGGGGCTTGTTCTAATAATGAAAAGGGTAAGAAACAAATATAAAAATTGAAGAGGAGACTCACTGATGCGATTCCTTTAACCTGGAACCCGCAGAAGGCAAGTAATGAAAGGTGCAGGGGTCGCCTGGATCTGTTGAGACGTTGAATAGCTTTACTGTGTCGTCCCCACTGGCAGCTTCGACAGTTGTGAATGATAAAATAGATCATCATTGATATTTTACCATGATTTCATGGATTAATAACAAAACAAATAGTGCCTTACACAATTAGAATTAGACCGTCTATATTGGCACAAGACATTCATTTTGGTCGTGAATGTAAAATCATGCGGCTGGAGTTTGATATTGATTGTGCTCAACATTTTAGAAAATGTTTATATAGGGTTGCAACTTTAAAATGTAGAATCAAGGTGCACTACCTTTTAAGATTGCAACTCAAAAAAAATTCATCATAACATATTGTTTTCATGTTCGAAAACCCTCTAATTGATCATCTCAATATCGAGATGTATGAATATGAAAAAAAGAAAAGATTTCAAATCTCAAAAATAGTGTTTCCTGCAACATATTATCTGGACCATCCACTTTAAAGATTTTCATGTGTTTATAGATCTACATGATTTGAACCATTTTTAAAGTTTAGAATTTTATAATTAGATATTAAAATAGATTCTCAAGCTTATGAGAATTTTTGACACCAAAATTGCACTTATGATAAAATTTGGAGGCGCGCTTTAATTTGGTTGTTTACGATTGCAACCTTATACAAACCACACCCTTTAAGTTTTGATACGCACTTTTAGTCATCCAATTTTATATATGACGGATTAGAAGAACCAAAAATAAATCTTATAACATACAATCCCGAATATAAAACTATAAATATAATTAAAGGAAACCGTTGCTTCTCGGGGAAACTTTGAATGTTCTTAGCCTCCTAGGTATTTTGAAAAGGGCAGCATACCACATCAATGTTGTTTGGCATACCACAATATATGATATACATCCATGGGTCTGTCAGTAACCACCACAAATGATGGAGACAATCAAATTGGCCTACTAAAGGGAATAATTACCATGAAAGAATAATGTCGTTGCACCATAATGGTCGGGTCAAATAAACCACAAAGAAATGAAGGGAAAAAAACTTTCATATGCTACTGCGAGGATATTTTAAATAAAAAACATGCATTTAAATATAGATTTAAGTCATTCCATATCTAAATTACATATGTGCAGTAATTGTAGACCTACAGGTAGAAGACCAACTTGGGAGGAATTTTTTCAATCTGGAATTTTGGGAACCACCTAAGAATCACTAGATCCTCATTTTCAAAAGAAAAAAGTTGAAGCTCTCTAACAAAAAATTGTAGAGACATTTTCTTTTTCGAGTGCATAAATCGTGCGATTTAAAAAAAAAAATTATTGAGATAAGTTAATGGCTTGAAGAGGTTAGACCCCCAAATTTAGGATCCGAAAAATACTCTTATGTTTGCCCAATGGAGTAAACAAACATTGTGCTCCTATGGAAGCAATTAATCTTTTTTGCTTTACTTAAACCCACTAGCCAGATCGAGACAAGGAATCAGAACATTCCACAATGATTCCTTATTCACAAATCACAATCCGGATCGGTAATTTTTCAAATATTGCATATAATTCATTAATTTGTCTTCATATTAAATCTATTTCACCATTTCATACATCACAATGTCAAAGGCTATCTTACCCCTATATAGAACACTAAGTTGAGGCACAAATCCAAATTAATCCAAACCACATAAAACTAATAAGAAATTGGGAGTAAGTTACACTAAACATTTAAAACATCAAATCTTGAAGATCGGGAATCATGGATCATGCACCCAGTTTACCCGTCATTTGATTGAGATTTATGAGAGTTTTGTACCCATGTGTGACCGATGGATTTCTAATTACTCAAAAAAAACACAGAAGGATTTCTATTAAATACAGTAGGTGGGATGAAGGGTAGTTGAAAAATTTATTATCCAACCCTTGAAACAAGTCATGGGTGCAAATATGGTAGCTTGACATGACTTTCAAGTACGAATCCTAGTCCTAATTTTTCCCCAAGCCAAAAGATTTCCTACACCCGCGGAAATATGCTTTGCATTTACTCCCGCGGACAGAACGCATGTTAGGGGTACCTTTTAGATCTCAAGCTTTGTGGATTAACCCGTAGACTAATCTTCGTATAAGACAATTTCTGAAATAAACTCTTTATGTGCCATAAAAAAATAACACCTCACCTCAAGATTGAATAGAGGTCGTCCAATTTTTTAAAGACTAGATCCAAATCAAACAACCCAAAATTCAAATTTTTTCTTTTACAAATAATCATCTAAGAATTCTTGTGTGGTTCCCTAAATTTTAAACCAACAAACCTTCTTAAATAGGTGTTTTAGGCGAGGGAGTAGATAAATAGTATGTGCTCGCCGTAGCATAGTATATATGCTCCTTCCCCTTGAGGACGCGTAAGAATGCGGCAAGCCTGCATATTGAAGAAATACGGGCTTGGCAATAAATATATATTTTAAATGTAATTTTATCACAATTTTTAGAGAATATATAATCTTTAACATGGAGATCATAAATATGAAAAAATAAAAATAACAATGAAAACTAGAAATAATAACTACATTAAGAAAACATTTGGACGGTTAGTTATAATTGTTTTTAGATGGACCACCTATTTGCATCCATCTTTAAAATGGATGCTTTATAGTTGATGCTTTATACTTCTAGACCGCATATTGTAGAAATGTGGTCCAGACCGCATGAAACAATTGTTCTATTGTTAAACTTTAAAGAAAGGGTAAGGCTTCAATAAGTCCGGGGTTTTACGAAATTTGGCACCGCCATGCTTGAGAACCTTGGCAGAAACACTGAGTCCACATAAAAAAACCTTGTGATGGCCTGCAAATCTATTTATGCCTTTGAATGTAAAATTTGAAGGTAGATTCTCATAACCTTAAAATAGATGGTCCAAAAAAATTGTTGAGAGATAGACTATTTTTAGGAATTGAAATTTTTTTTTTTGAGATTCATGATTGTCAAAGTCGAGATGGTTGATTTGCAAATTTTTTAGTGCTAAAACAACCTTCGTTTTATGAACTGATTCAATGTGAGGATGTATAATTTGTTCCTTGTATAAATTGCACTTTGGGATGCCATGCTTGAAAATGAGGTCATAGATTGCAATAAGAAAAATTCCCTTGACACTTATATTGCTTTCAAGTCCCACCAAACATATTGCCCGTGGATTTTTTTAGAGTTCAAGAGCATCAATTCAAAGACACTTCATATTTCATTTTTCCTAAATGGTATTGAATAGCATATGTTGGGGAAGAAACTGGGGAAGTGCGACACTAAAGAGATAGATGGCTTTGAGCCATGTGAATGCTACATTCCATGCATTAAATACCTAACTCAAAGGCATTAAATGAACCCAAATCTCCTTGGTTATATTTGAAAGAACATGGCTCTATTTTATTGTATGGAAGATCACACAACTAGAACTATTTTTGTGAAAAATCTGTATCCAAACTTCAATAGGTTTTAGAATATTAAAAGTGCAATGAAGTGTAAATGAAAAAACCATCCGCGTCATATAAAGGAAGAAATAAGCACAAAATGCTGATCTCAAAGAAACATAAATTAAAAGTGTTTTTTTTCTTTTTTTTGGGGGGGTGGGAGAGGGCCGTTACCCTTGTGCTCAAAATAAACCTGTCTTCATTTTTTGGATGAGTCAATGGGGATAGGGCCCTTACTTTTGAGAGAAATAGAGTCTAGGACATAGAGTTGCAAATTATCAAGCGCTAACATATTAAACTTGGGATCTTTTCTTGAAAAGAGAACTTGTTAAACCAACTTAGATCGAGTTGAAATCCCTTCATGCAGAGTTTTAAAACAAGATGATATGGATCGAGAATTGCCGGTCTGGAAGGAATAGAATGGGCAAACAATATGAATCCCTCCTTGAAATCCCTAATCCCAGCTTTTGGAAATTTTTTTATCATTTTTTAACAAATAGAGATTGCTAATTATTGTCGATTCTGGTCGATAGATTGGGAGTTTCAAAACCCGATTCAGGGTTTTAAAATCCTGCTTCAAAGAAAATAAGTACATGGAAAACACAAACCTTTCCATGGTCCGTGATTCTCATCCTTATGGTAATGGAGGTTGGAAATTTAGAGGAAAAAGAGAAAAGAAAAATAAAAGATTGAGGGTGCCTTTCAAAAATGCCGGTTTTCCAAAACCAGCGGGATTCAAAAAACCGTTAGTGGTATTGACCCACAAAGGGAAGCGCAAAGCTACTTTACACAAAAAGTGACACTTCTAAAAGAAAAGAATACAAGATAAATCGTTAATAAGAAATTACTTATTTGAAAAATGATGATGAGGAAAATAGGGAAGAAGAATTCCGTACTGCCACGTGTTACAAGAGGACAAATAGTACGTCCCTTAGTCGTCCGGCAACTCGATCTTAATTCAGGATCATACTGGATTAAAAAATATTTACCTTTAAAGTATGCTATTTTTGGGTGAGGCGTAAAGTGAACTCCAACGGGAGCACACTGTACACTCTCTCCCTACCTATTTTGAAGGAATTTTTGGGTCTCGGATCCAATTTAGAGCCAATTAGTAATTTTGAGAAGAACATTGAATCTCGAGATTTTAGCCACTTAGATCAGACTGCCAAAAGAAATTGAAGGCCTCTGTTTAGTCTTAGGACATTATTTTTTGGACAATTTACTAAAGTGTAATTTGATGAATTTGAGAACTTATTTTGATGTATGCTATTTGAAATTTGATCAAAATAAAGATGTGCTACATAAATTTGATAACAAAATTTAGGTAAGATGTCACTCGGTGTCGGTTTTATAAAACTCCCTAATTTTGTTAGCAGGCACAATGTGTGTTTTTTTTTTATGTTTCTAATTAATTGAGGTCCTAAAAATATCCCTACAGTAGAGGGAGTGAATGTACAATATGCTCCTATGAGTTCATGGCTTTTCTAGCATAAAGTGTTAAGAGTAAAGTTCACATTACTTTGGAATATCTAAAATTAACTTAAGGTAAAAAAGACTTTATGGGGAAGATTTCGAAAGAAGACCCACAAATCACGCAGAGATTTGAGTTCATATGAAAAGGCAAGTTACTCCCAAGTAAATTAACGTTAGATGCATGTTCTTCTTTAAAATTCTTTATCAAAACGATGTGGATTGCACCTTTTTTTATATAAACCTCTCACCTTTGCAATAGGTTACACAATAATCAATGTCATAGTGACTTCTTGTAAGGATTGCTTGAATATTATTATTCTCTTATTTTTCCGAGAAAAGACATGCCACCATAGTTGTAGTTTATATTTAAGTTAACCATCGCTTTGTAAAAAAAAAACCATAAATACTTTTCTATATATATATATATATTAACTTTCGTCTTTCATTTTATTACGGTGCTTTACCGAGACTGCACATAGGAATTCAAGAGAATTCCTAATAAAATAGATAGCATAGAATTTAGAACTTATGGAGCAAATGTCATGAAAAAATTAGAATCGGGCTTGAAAATCGTGTTTTGACTCTCTGATTCATCGGTTTCGACTCTAGGCCATTCGAATCGAGTTATGTTAAAAAGAAAAGAAAAAAAAGGATACAAAACTCGGAGAATCATGTGACTCGGAGCTTTTCAACATAGAATTGTTAATTACGGGATCAGGTATGATATGACTCAAGACTCGCTTGTGGACCTTGTGGTGGACGAGTTCAGGCGCGAGGCATTTCTGAGCTTGAAAAACCCTAGAATTGACGAGTCCCCCAAATTTTTGTTTTTAAAATTTTTCTTACTTTAAAGTTCCTCGGTCAACTCGTACTCTTCCGAGTTAAATCGAAGGGAATATGGAGTTAGAATTTTGAAATGCTGATATGGAGCGAGATTATCATCTTTAAAGACAAAATAATGCTTAAATTCAAAGCAACTCTTACATCTTATAAATCCTTCCATATTTATTGAGCAAAAACAAAGCTAAAAAGAATCCCAGAATAAGTCAATTTCAAGCCAAAAGAAGTCCAATTGAAGGAACCATGCACATATAGAGCGAAATATCAATATCACAATTGGAAAAGAAGTTTATGCAGGGTTAGAAACTTAAAATGTAGAATTAAGGTCTACTTCAAAAATCGATCATAAAATGTTGTCTCGATGTTGAAATATCCTCTAATTGATCATCTCATGTATGAATATACATAAAAAAATTTGGTTCTATTTTTAAGATTTCATATGTTTATAGATCTTACTTGATTTGAACCACTTTTGACGTTTAAAATCATGTAATTAGATCTCCTCTAATAATTTTTTTACACCAAAAATATACTTAAGATAAGATTTGGAGGTGCACTTTAATTCGATCGTTTAAAGTGACACCCTCATACGCCCATCTTAATTACCAAAATACATAGCAAGGTTTTAAAATAGAAAAAATTTCATATAAGGCTGCAGCCCTAAACTATAGGAAAAAGGGCACGCCTCATAAATCATTGGAACAATGTTGTTTTGATAGTGAAAAGATCATCTCAACCTTAGTATGTAGAAAAAAGAGATTTTAAAATATCAAAAATGATACATCTTGTAGTACATTATCTAGACCGTCCATTCTCAAGATTTTCATGTAGCTCGATCTATGGTCTTAAATTTCATAATTAGATGCACCAATAAGCTTTTGGAGGTACACCTTAATTAGATTTTAAACAATATGAAAATATTTCCTATAAGAACAATATCATAATTAACCTAAATATTTATCATTCATTTAGGGACATTATCGTCACGCCCAAGAGTCACGCCTGCCTAGAAGGCATGCGAATATAAAAAAATATATGATTATTCTCCCCTTGATCTCAAATCTCTCTTCCCAGTATCATTTGACAACAAAGGGAAAAACCTCTCTTAAAAATAGACTATTTTCTTTTTTCTCAAATCCGTTCATTTAATTATTTCTTTCTTCTTTTAAGCAAGAAACCCTAAAAAAAGAAAAACATAAAATCTCTTACAATATGCTCTTTATTTTTTCAAATTTATTTATTTTGTTTAATTAATATTGACAAATTTATCAAAATACACCACACTTATGAACCACTTAACATTTTACCAATATTCAACTTTTCCAACTCATTACCACGCATTTGATGGTTTTTTTAAATAAATAAAAAAATAAAAAATTAAACTATTAATACATTTGCCTTTTAACACATGTTGGCATGGACCACTAAGTCAAAGAAAGGGCGACTAGCGCCTGTAACCTCAACCCACATGCACAAAAAAACATTCACTAATTCCAAAGAATAAATAATTTGAATAAGAACAATACTAATAAAGTGATTTTTTCACAAGAATAAAAATATTCATGAATTTCAAGAAAAATAACATCAACATGAACAACACAGATGATTTGCTAACCAAAAAACTATTAAAAAGTAGAAAAATGGTATGATAACAAATAAAATAAATAGAATAACAAAAAAAAAAAATTGGTGGAGAATTGGTATCAAGAGTCATTCCATTGAAGTTACCAGCCTTACATATTGCAGAGCCCAAGCTCTAAGTTAGAAATAAAAAATCTAAAAACAAGGAAGAAAAAAATCTAGAAAAAAGAAAAAGAAAAATTACATCTCATTGAATCCTAATAAACTACGAATTCATGGATGATCAGCTAATCTCTTCCCCTCTTTACAAATCAAAACCCACCCCCAAAAAAAACCAGAAGAAAAAACCCATCAAAATCCCTGGAAAAAAAGGCTAAAAAACCGCCATTAAACCCTAGCTTTCTGCAACAAAGGGCAGAATTCAGGACCAGTCCTATTCGTCTTACAAAGCACATCAGAACCCATTTCGTTACAGAGGTTCAGAGCTTCATCGAGACTGAGATTCTCGATTTTCCGCTCGCTTTTCTCCAAAATCAATAACAACTGCTTGAAAAAACCCACCTCACATGGAAACACCAGACCGCCATTGAAGTGAAAGCCGTATTCTTCAGCAGCTCTCTGTAAGATGGGGCGGAAAACTGGCAGGTTAATGTATTTGGCCGGAATGACAAATCGCTGCCTCTCTAGACCAACGTATACAGCCAAGTAGCCTGCCGGAATCCGGCACTTTTCGCCGGAAAACTCGCTAGAATCTGATTCCGACCGAGTAGCGGCTGATCTTTTGGGGTTTAGGCTCATGGTTTGCCATTTCTTGAGCATCTGCTTTAGCCTCACTATTTGCCGGATTTTGTCAACCTTTTTCAAAGCCGGAGCCATGAGAGAGTAAAGCAAATGGTTGCTCTCTTTTTAATGTTTAAGAGAGAGAGAGAGAGAGAGAGAGAGAGAGAG